TAGATAGATAGATAGATAGATAGATAGATAGATAGATAGATAGATAGATAGATAGATAGATAGATAGATAGATAGATAGATAGATAGATACTGTATACACTATATAGATTTCTATATATCCACAGTATATATTTACCCACCGATGAGGTCCCATCTTCATGGAGAGCCAGGCCTGGACGATGCCCAGCAGCGTCAGAGCTGCCAGAGCGCAGAGCCCGTTCACCTCGATCAGCTCCCAGATCAAACCCGTACACAGAATACACTGCAGAGGGGTGATCCAGATAAAGTGTGCCAGACCCAGGCTCTGGAATACACACACAGACACACACAGAGTACATAAAGATTACACAATTTAATATCACCTTCATGACCAGGTTTATCATGTGAAAACTTCATAAAAAAAAGAAAAACATAAGACTTCTACTATTTTCTTAACGAAAGAGAGGAATCCTTTAATTTTGAAGTTCAGTACACTGATGTAGATTTAAGATTTGTGAATAAAGAAAGTAAAATAATATTTTTATGTTTGAATTAGCAGCTGATGAATGTATTTACCAGGTAAACCCTGCTTGTTGCACAGACTGCTACCTTACAGTCTTCCACTAACAAAACTGAGGTATTTATGACCCATCATATTGAAACAAGGATTAAGTCTAAAAGTTGTAGGTGGAGAAATAAGTAGATGCAGTGTTTTGATTAAAACACTTGCAAAAACTGCATTTAGTCAAAATGTAACAATTAAATGTGTTATCAATGTATCATTTGAATGAATTGTCTAAAATATAATCCTAAAAACATTTTTTGAAGCACTTTTTTGAGCAGATCAAAAATCCTGATTTTGAGGAACAACACCTTAAAATTTTTAGATTTTCCCTGTGAGATATCAAAGCTTTTGTTTCTTTCTATCTGGGAAATCTCAATACTCAAATACTATTTGAGGTTTCTTCTTTAAAAGGACATAAAAATGTCATTAAAATTACATAAATTAGAATTCAGACCAAATATTTATGGATTATCATAACCAACAAGACCCATTAAGTCATATCTCCGGATACACTGATGATATCAGGATGATTTTAGTATCAAAATGCAGCTTTTAAAGCCAGGAATCAGAAAATGTGATTCAGTCATTTTGATCAAATTTGACTTAGTCCTTGTTTTGATGTGATGGGTCACATTTTTGGCTCTGTTTTAAAAAGGCCTGTTGTCCGTTTCTTTTTCCAGCTGTACTGAACTTGTGTGTACTGTTACCTACTAGCTACATAACAGTAGACGGGGTTGAATGCAGGTAAAAGGAGAACAAACAGACTAAGTTTGTCATTAGAAAAATCTACGCTCTGCAGGATCTCACCTGGGCTCCAGATGCAACACCCAGCTTTCACTTCAGTTTGCTCTCTGTCATCTTTTCACCTGCCCTGCACCTGACCCCCCCACAGCAATCTCAGCCTTTTGTATGAATCAAGCTACATACAAAAGTGATAATTGTCCCATAGCAGACAGCAGAGTGTTTCCACATTCAACACGTCAGTGAGACCCCCCGACCACTCAGTTTTACACAGGACCTCCAGCTCCAGCTGTCCTGCACGCTCGTATTATTTTTCAGCTACGTCACTGAATCTGAACACAGAACTGAGAATCAGGCAGTGGAGGATTCATGGATGTCAGAGACAGTGTCAGCTGTCTGTGCAAAGTTTCAGCTGTTTTCTAACTGCAGCTAATGTGTGGTGTGGACACAAGCTTATATCAAAGATTCCTTTTCTTTCACCTCATCCAGCTTGTTGAGGTGAGCAGACATCAGGCTGACGAGCTGACCGGTGCTGATCTTGTCCAAGACTCGACTGGACAGCTTCAGGGTCTGAAAGGGTTAAAGGTCAGAGGTCAGATGACAGCAGATACCTGTGAAACATAATCCCTTTGCTCTTGTAAACAAATTCTCCAGTATTTGTGCCATTTGTACATTTATTAAGCATTTGTTTGCACAGTGTTTTGCTCATTGATTTCAATGGTTAGCATTAGCATTAGCATTAGCACAATGCATAAAAATCTCCCTTGCGAAGCACGCCCAGGTCACGTGACGCACAGTCCAGTAACGTAGATCACTGGGTATAACTGTAACATTTGAATGCACAGTTATAAATATGGAGTTTAAGAGACACAAGACAACATTTCAACTTTTTCCAGAAAACACTTTTTTTTTATTTGTGGCCAATTTCGTGATACTAATATATCTTAAACACTTTTTGTTTTCTAAAAAGACAAAACTGAATGATGAGGTCTTTCTCCTACCTTCTTGTAAATGAGACTGAAAAGCGCGATGCGGATCTGCATGCCCAGGTGATGCAGGCCGAAGATGGCGGGCTGCAGCAGGATGAGGCGAGCGGTGAAGAGGAGGCCGAGGCCCAGGGCCAGGTAGTAGCCCTGACTCCGTTCAGGTTCATGGAAGGGGTCAAAGGAAGCGATGATGCGGCCTGAAAGCTGAGGCTGCACGGCCTTAGATGCTTCCTGCAAAGAGAGAACCGGGCAGGAGGTTAATGGAACTGATCCAAATTATACTGAACACCTGAAAACCCGGAAAAGTTGAGGATTGGAGGCGTTTAAGGGTTAGGGTTAACATTTGTACGATCTGTTAGCCACCATAGTTTTCTGTGTGGATGAAAACATTGAAAACTGACAAGTTTATGTGTAGCTTCTTTAGAAAGAACAAAAAAAAATCATTTTAGACAACTGAGGTCATTCAAGGAGCAATCTGGCACAGGTAAGATATTCTTTGTTCATAACCTTTCCACCCAACACCAGTTCAAAAGAGCCAAAATGCTGCATATTTCTGCAGAGTTGAAAGCTTTAAGTTGTGAGGAGACTGTGTCCAATTTGTCTTCTACACCAAAGGTTATTGAAGAATCTGACATGTGACCTTTGTTGTCAAACATGATTTTGTACCTTTATAATAAAAGTGTCACACAGTTATTGTTCAAAGAATCGGTTGAACACGTGTCAAACTCAAGGCCCGTGGGCCTACAAGTAGATGGCAACTGGTTAAATTCGCAGTATAAATCAGAGGTGCCCAAAGTGGGGCCTGCGGGCCAAATTTGGCCCACCAAGCCATTTGATTTGGCCCACCAGCGGTTGACATATTTACTAGGCTGTAACCTGTCGTCCTATGTAGAAACACAGTATTTCTGCTTAGTCATTTCATCCGTTGGCCATTGACTATAAAAGTGTCTGTAGTGCAGATAATTGTCACTCATGGTGCAGACTTTAATTATCTTTGATAGATTATGATTAAACATGAAATGTGAAATACAAGTAACAAGATATATTTCGATTAGATTTAACCCCATATGTAGATTTGCACACTTTATAAGTCCAGAAAACTCATATTTTATCAATTTATAAAATATTCCATGAGCCTTTGCTACTTGAGCGTATGGCAGACTTTCTCCAAGTGCACAGACTGAAACAAAAGCGGGCCACCACACTGGCTGCTAGCTTAATCGTTAAAAATAAATGACCTTACCTAAAAAGTATTTGTATTTCATGTATTACTGCTTTTGGCCCACAGGCCTGGATAGATTCTCATTTTGGCCCTCTTAGGGAAAATGTTTGGGCACCCCTGGTATAAATGCTACATTTTGCTGCATTTGTACTGGCTGCTTTTGTTGCATCCCAGTTGTACTGGAAAGTGGGAATATCCCACTTACAAGTGGTGAATTTAAACTGGAACTTTTAACGGCGCTCAGCTGAGCAACGAGACGAGGAACGTGTCATGTTTAGTTGAAATTAAACATGAAACATCAAAGTTTTTCACAACGGGCACTTTGAGGGCCACCATAACACTGGTGGTCCTCAGTGAAAATAGTTTGACACCCCTGCCTTAATGACTGATTTTTAAATGTGTATTGACAAACAAGTGCAGTCAGTTAGTTGAGCAATGATTTCTTAACAAAAATTAACTATTTTACACTCTTTTGCTATCTAAAAAAACAAAACCCAGAAAGCTCCACCTAAACTAGATCATTATTATACCTCTAGCCCCGGGGGTATACAGTGTGTTGGTGCGGTGTCCGTCTGTCACGGGTGGTCACAAAATATATGTATATTTACTTAGAAACGGGCACAGTAACTCCATCAGGGTAGTACTCAGTCTGATTTGATTTGGGCATCAACAGGTCAAATGTCAAGGTCATTTATGATGACTGGTAATATAAAACTGGTTTATTATTCAAAGGCAAACGTGTCTAGGGCAGGCGGAGGAAAACCAATCAACGCTTTGGCATCAAGTTCCTCCTTGTTTCAGTTTGCAGTCTGGCACTCATGTTGATGTTATCTGAACACATCATGTTGTAAAAGAACATAAAGCCCTAAACTGACCTCCACTGAGACCTGTCTTTGATGCTTTTGTTTCCTTCATTGTCTTCTTAGCATCTAACAAGCATTCTTGCTGTCAGGACAACCGACTCCAACTGTCCTGAGTCATGAGCTGCAGCTGCTCCTCCCTGTGAGTCTGAGACACTCTGCAGTGACACATTTGTCCCGTTCAGACGTCATAAAACTGGAGCTTTATTGGCATTCTCCTGCCGCACGACACACACACACACACACACACACACACACACACACACAC